AAAATAAACATGTACATTTATAAGAAATGTAACCAGACATAATATTATCTAATCGACAGAATTTTATGATCGCATACGAATAAAATGGATGACGCATGTAGTATTATGGAATCTAATCGATTTTGATCTAATTGATTTATCCTGGCCAGTATTAAATAATTGTTACACAAATAAATCTCAGTAATGTTCGAAAATTGAAAAATAAGAAATATAATGCGATAAAGTCTTATTGCTTTATTGAGAGCTCAATTACCAAAAAATTAATCTTTAATTACAGCATACGAGCTAAAAAAAACAGAATAAAATAAACAATAATAATAGTACAAAAATCATTAAAAAAAAAAAGAAAAAAAATAGAAGAAAAAAAAACAATTCAAAATGTATTGAAATACATAAGAAAGTGTATGAATATATCTCTTTAATTACAATCTCTCTCTCTCTCTCTCTCTCTCTCTCTCTCTTTATCATATAACACGAAACTACGTTTGGTTTAATAGTAAACATTAATTATTATATGAATTCTGTTATGAATTAAGTACGAGCATTTAATACTATTATTCTAGCAATGAAATAGCTTAATTAAATTGAAAGTGAATTTAGGTTTCTACATTTGCATAGACATATAAATGGATACATGATATCGTTCATATCGATAAATTAACTAACTGTATATTTATCCATTAATATAAATTCATGAATTAGATAAACTAAATAAAGATGAAAAATACATATTAGCATGGGATAGAAGTCTTAAAATAATTAAGTCATATTTATGCAAAAATAACAATGCAATAGTGAAATTTAGATGAAAAGATCAAGAATATCATTAATTAATTTGAACTTAATGGTTACAAAGTCCTTCTAATATAATATATATATATATATATATATATATATAATATAATAGTCCTTATAATATAATATATAGTGTATTATAATGTAATTGGTAACAATGATTCATTTAGAAATTTTTTTAGACTATCTACGTTTAAATCAGAAGTGACATAGAAATTGCTGATAAGTTTATTAAGTATGAAAGAAATTTGCTAATATTGCTTTTAAAATAGCAAATAAACATACAATATAGTATTACTTTTATTAGAACGATATCGTAAAAAATTAATTTTTATATTTGACAATAAAATAAAAGATTGTAGAAATATTGAAATGCTGATAATAGAAATATTAAATATTCTTGTATTTCAGGCAAAAATAAATATATATATTCAGGCAAAAAAAAAATGAATTAAGGAGCAATATTTGGATTCTTCTTATACTATTTAATATTTTAATATATAATTAACACGAATATTAAAAATTAGATTAAAAAGCTAAATGTATAAAAACAATTGTATGCATTATCTCTATGATATCTATGAATTTACAATAACACTTTGTATAATTAGAATTAAAATTAATACAATCTTTTATATTTATAAATATATAATTAATAAAATCTTATAATTTTTCAATACCTAAAGGTTTAATTCATAAATCAGATCCTCATACTTTTTTTTATTATTCACGCAATTTATCAAGTAATTGAGAAATTGTGCTTTAAGCAATATCCGTCTTAAATCGCCGATATATATTATTAAGGATTTACTTAAATCAATTAATTAATCGTTTGTATTGGCTATAATATATATACTATATACTATTTATATATTAGAAAATATACTAAACTATAAGAATGTAACGATTCTTATCAAATGAGAATTTAGATATTCTTGTTAAATTTATCGAACATTAGGAAATATCGCAGTTAATCTGGAAAATTGTTCGTTAATATTATTAGCATTAATATTATATGATTAATATTGTTATGGATATATTAGATTTCTTAAACAAGGGCATAGTTATATTTTCTGAAATAAAAAAATTAATGTACATTATGTTATGCTTATGAGAATATATTTTATTTTAAAAATTAAGAAATCGAGAAACGATTTAACGTTTACAAAAATCCATCACTATTAAGAGTATGACTATTGAATTGTATTATCATTAATAATTTAATGTGCATTATCAAAACAAAACAACATATAAGGAACATCAACATATTACTGTGCGTCACTTGCAGACTTAATCATTAGAAAATTTGCATTGATCGTCAAGAAATATATAAAATTAAATTAAAGTTTTCTTTTTTATGATCGCCACTTTTTTTTTCACCAAAATATTGGTTTTATATCGTCTTTAAATAATTTGAAAGTTTCATGTTTCGCAAGGAAATAATAGTGCATTAGATATGTAAGTGAAAAATCCAATTTTTCTACGACTATCATCAAGCACAACATTTAATTTCCCAAAATTGAATTAATCAATTCGAGGTTCGTTTTTGTTTTTATAAAAAACATAGAGATGCCTATTTGTCTTTATCATATATTTAAAGAAGCTCTTTGTTGCAACTTGGGTTAAATATGTTTAAAAAGAATATAAATGTTTCAGACAACGCATGACTAAACAAATATTTTAAATTACATGTTGATTTAATCAATGAGTCGGTTATTTTTCAAAGTTTTTTAATCGTTATTTAATAATAATTATTTAATAAATACTTAATTTATCAAGATTTTTATTTATTTTAGTGTAAAAAAGTTTAATTATCTATATGATTAGTTATTATAGATTTTTCGATTCTGGGCATTTGCATTTGATAATAAATAATAATTTGACTTAATATATTTTCGAAGCAATCAGTTAAATTAAAAATACTGATTTAAAATTCCAAAGAAGAACCAATTTTCCGTTTGCTTTTTAAATGCTAATGCCAATAAACAATTCAAGCCAATTTGAAAAAAAAAACAAAAAAAAATGATAATGTATTAACTAAAAATTCAACGGTAATAATATTCCAGTCTGTAGTAAATCAATTACCTTACTCATTGTTTTTTGTTAATCGAACAAATGCGAAAATAGTAATAACTTTATATATCTATGATTCTTCCTGATCCTCTATCTGATACTTATAATTTCGTATTAAGAAATATAAATATATAAGTATATATACAATCATTATTGCAGTTAATTGGAAAACTTATAAGAATTATAAAATTCCGTTAAAAAGTATTTGCTCTGATTTACCATTTTCTTTCAATAAAATTTCTAAAAACAAAAAGGTTAAAATTGTTAAAATACAATATCCTTTATATATATATATATATATATATATATATATATATATATATTTCAAAAAACAATTTATGGCTGAATCAATTATAATTTAATTAAAATTAATTAAAATTTCAATTCGCAAAATAAATTTTGTTATTTAATATTTAGGAATTAAAAAAATTGTCTATAAGCTTATATTCTCTGACTTCAAATTTTTTTTATTAATTAAGGTATTAATAATTTTTAAAAAAATATATCAATAATAATATTACTATTATTGTTAAATATATTTATTTTATATAATTTCATCTATCTATACTGTGCACTTGTTTATCAACAACTTACAACATTTCTGTACGATTGTTCAAATAATATTTAAAAAAAATTTTAAATCAATCGTTATATCGAAGCATAAATAGAGATTTTATTTTAACAGTTTAGTAACGTTATTGATGATTAAATTTGTATTATCTTTCTATATTCATTTTAAATTATTTCTTTTTTCTTTAATATAGTCACTACAAAGGATAAATTTGCATACTTATTTATCCAAGTTAAACTTTAATGAAGTCCATTTAAATTTTTTCATCTATAATTCTGCACCTACTGAAAATTTCATTTCCAAAGAAGTAGTTTCAAAATTGAAATTTGAAATTGAGAATAAATGGATAATAAAATGCTGGCGTTTTGAAATAAAATGAAGATTAAATAATTAGTGAACCCATCAGAATAAATGATTATATTAATAATATTTGAATGGAAAGTGTGACAATTGCACAGTATAATTTAAATAAGTTTATGAATAAAATAAATAAAAAAAAGCAACAACAAAAAAAAGTACAAAGCATTTTTTGAAATTTTTTTTTTATGCGCAGTTCACTGTATTTTTCTTGCAAATGTTTCTCCTTGAAATATAAACAATCCAATTGATATTTACTTAATTCCACAAAGTTATACTTCAATATATCTTTTAAGCTTGTATATATTCTTTTTATATAATTGAAAATTTTACAGTGCATTACATTATTAATACATTAATTTTTTAACTACATTTATACGTTATTATACTTTGTCAATTATATTAATTATATGTCCGTAATAAATTTATTTATTTCACACAATGAAACTCTAAAGGTTTGAAGCAAGTTAAAAATATATTATTAAAATACTTTTAAGGGGACCATTTGTTTGAAAGGCTGAAGAAATTTAATTTAAAAATTTCAGTGTTGCTTAATGAAAAAAAAATTTTTGAGTATTCCAACCTAAAAAGAGATAAATATTATATAGAAATCGATAATAACAAATTTCAAAATGCATTTTCATGTTATTTGTCATTTGTAAGGGGGTTTTTTTCTTCTTTTTTTTTGCAGATAAATTTTGATTGCATTCAAAAGCACAATGTTCACGTCTATATTTCTTTTTTATGCAAACTAATAAATGTTTAATACTCTACACATTTTCAAAAAATTTTTTTCATATTTTTAATAACTCTGTTGCACCTTAATGACATGTCCGATTACATTTAGAGTATCTGTTATGCTATATTTTATCTAATAAATCTAATATTTTATATTTTTTTTCTCTCGTACGTTTCAAATAATAAAAATACATCGGATAAAATATGAATTTCATGGCAGTTGTTTTAGATTATGTAAATAATGTATGATTTCATGTTAATTGTAATGGAAATCGTGACGGTAAAGTTTCAAGAACAGAACACGGTATACCTGTATTACATTACACATACTATAAATATAAATATATCTATATATATAAAGCATCAAAAAAAAAAAAAAAAAAAATAAAGATATATATATTTATATATATCTATATGTAGGTACGTATACATATGGCAATGTTATTAATCTTATTTTTGCATACTTTTATTGCGCTGAAGTTCGTTGGATAAGATTAAATGTAGAATATGACATTTTCACTAACTGTAACATTTTATTACATCTCATTAAATTTAAACTTTTTATTTATTGTTGGGTATAATTCAATAATTTAAATGTATACTTACTCTCAGCAATGTACTTATGTTTATTGGAATGACATTAATTACTGAAATAAAAAGTGGTTTAGATGTTCGGACGATCATCATTAAAAGAATTTTCTTTGTCTGTTGATTTACGGTAGTCCAGTTGCACTCGTATAATGCATTACCAATATCTTTACTCTGTAAGAAGTTTTTAACTGTATTTATGGGCATATAGATTAATAATTTTAACAAGAAGTGCTTTTAATGCTAAAAACATTTCTTATCAATTTCCAACTGCTTCGTTGCATAATTATTTCCTGAAATGTGCTTACACCTAATAGAATATCATTCCCATACCAACACAACATGCCAATTTGCATTACCGATATTATGGTGAAAAAAATTGTCATAAAGTATTTTAAATCGAGTCTCTCAATATATATGGAAAGAGAATATATATTTATAAGGAAATTTGGTACAACTACAATCAGCTGTCCCATGAGTATTATTTCGAATGTTTTCTGTAATGTATATCCATACCTTGGCATGGCATAAAACCATAATATTAATCGCATAATAGTAATAATATGCATAATGCCAGATTAAGAACATTACTAAGTTTTGTCTTTTACCGATAAATTCTCTGATGCTCTCGTACAAGTTTGGCCATCGTCATTTTCATCATCACTTCGTTATGAATTTCCGATTGAGAATCATTGCCAATAGCACTTTCGTTTCCAAAATCTTTTAATCTAACTATTAATATATTTATTTGACAATTCATATGCAATAAGAAGCCAACGAATAAAGTATCCGTACTGAGGTGCATGCAGGAAAGCGTCGCACCACTAATAATTTGATGACAGTACGTTAACCAAAATGACAGAGGATTGTCGATTTTATACGGATACCAGGCCACGAATGGTAAATTTATAAATTTTTTCGATTCAAGTATTGGCGTAAGTGAACGAAGAATCATCGACGTTATTATTAAAATAGTATATACGGCAAACAGCCATCTACAATTAAATAAAATAACATATTGTGAGATATTTGAATTTTTTTTTCTTTTCTTTTTTCTTTTTTTTTTACATTCGTTCACCAACCTTGTTTTGCTTTTCATATTTTGCTGAATGCCGATCTCTTTCACATTTCGAGGCCTATACCATTGATTATCGACGTAATCGGTAATGAATGATAGAATCATTGAGCGATAGCATAATACATTAATTGTTTTATAAAGACCAACCGAAAATACTAGTACAGCGAATATATTGTCTAATTTAAAATAAATCGTACCATTGCTTAAGATGACGTCGATTAAAATCTCGACGAACAAAATGATTCCTAGGAATACACTGACAATCGTAAATAATTTGTAAATTTGCTTGCTAATTGTTGAAAAATTTTCGGGACACCAAGTTCCACAAATGGTTAATATAGCAAATGGTATAGGCAAATAATGATATTCGATGCTATTATAAAAATGCATTGTTTAATTAAAAAGCGAAAGACGTCACAATACGCATATTGTAATTGGAGGTTTTTTTTACATTTCGTATACGTGCATTTATATTTTTAAATAAAGCGACGCTGATCAAAAGTCGACAAAAGTTCTGTTTCAACTGCCATTACTTTTGCCTGCCCCCACCCTTAGCGATGGAAAAATTTTATAAGCATGGCTTATCGATAAAAATAGCACTAAATTATGCAATAGCAATCCCCTCCACAATGGAAAAAAAAGAATAATACGATATATAGGCAGTTATTTTTGCGTCAATTTTTATAATATTGACATTCGTTTTGCTATACCCCTGATAAACGATAATTATCCCTCTCAACTGTATATGTAAATTTGTATTCATTATTTGTTTGCACATTCATTAAATGCAATAAAAATTGATACCAAGATTTATTATTCAACGTGCGATCGAGCAATACGATGACTTTCTTACAAATTGATGTTATAAAAAAAATCTTCGCTGGAAGTAACTAATTTTTTTTTTTTTTTTTTTTAATTCATATTAAGAACAGTAAAATTTTCATGATTTCCGTGGCTGTATGAGAATTTTTGTTAATGACATTGTCAGTGAAAGAGTGAAAGAGTGAAAAATGATTGGGAAAAATATAAACGAATAATAATAATAATAATAATAAATAAATAAATAAATAAATAAATAAAACAAAAACAAAAAAAGAAAAACAAAATTCATAAAATAAAATATCGTCTTTATTATTATTATTGTATTATTGTATTAATGTGTTATGTCTTTCGATACATTGGAGTGAGTTTTTACGAGTCGGTAGACTGCAAGACACTAAAGGCAGAGTAGGATGTTTTCATTATCTACGAAAAGGAAATAATCATTAAAAGTCATATGAAATGTCAATGAACATATGACACATTCTCCATGCTAATTTACTGACTCGACCATCATAAATAATGGGCAATGCCTGCATCATTGACTTACGCTTAAAAACGAATCTATATTCATATTCATAATTGGACCAACGCTGAAAAGAATCGGCTTTGACGTTCGCTTCATTATGAATAATAACTCTTTTCTAGATTTTATTGACAGTGAGGTCCAATCCATCTCGTGCACAGCATTCTCAACTTCAAGACTCTAAGGAGAAGGAAAATTCATGATTTGGCAATTCAGGCTTATAAGGCCAATCCCGAGAGCCACGCATAAACATCGTGAAATAATTACATTTAGCGTAACCTCGTTCCCGTACCAGCAGAAAAAGTATAATTCAATGACCACAGCCATGAAGAATTGAAACGTCATCATGAATTCCATGCCGCCGATGCTTTGCTTAGACATGAGGTAGACGCTCAAGCATAAATTAGGTAAAGTTACGGCCAGTTGCCCAAACAGCAGGACATTGAGAGTGTCGTTCAACAAGTTCGCAAATCTGCAAAGAGGGGGCGAGGCTGGTAATGAAGCTGGCTCGAGCGAGGCACGAATTAAGCGATTGTTTACTTGAAAATACTTTCGTGATCTCGAACACACTCGGTTATCAATCGGCTTTCTAAGGATGGGATGCGAGCGGACGCGTCTTCGTCGTCGTCACTCCTCTTGGCGCTCGCGCATAATTTCGGGATGCTTAAGAGCCGATTCTTCAGGATCTCCAGCTGGAAGCAAGTTTTCAGAAGGAGGGCGGATATTAGGCTGTCCTTGGAGGCGTGGGTGAGGGTCGCGATGCCGGTTCCGATGGCCTGGTGCCAATATATCGCCCAGTAGCAGCCGGCATTGCTAATGTCGCAAGGGCAGTAGCTTTCAACTGGTAATTTTATCTCGTCGTTCGGCTCAAAAAGTGGCGATGTCAGTCGCAGGACTATCGCGATCGAGACTGCGCTTGTAAAATAAATGCTTATCTTCCTGTGATAGAGACAGACAGACAGACAGACAGACAGACAGACAGCTTGAACTTGGGCAAGTTAAATTTGTCAATGGTATAGAGCTCGAGGGATTGAGCTTACGACATCGACTAATTAAGGCTAATAAATTTCTTAGTCGTGGCTATGTCGCATTAGAATGGGGAAATTTTTGCTCAAATGTTGGCGAGGTAGGTGACTGAGGCTTGTGTGTGCAAAAACGGCAAATGACTGATTGTTGGACGAGTAGCGATTGAAAATGCCGAGGGAATATTTGTGAATTTTAAATATAATTCTAGCGATTGTGCTACGTGTGCGTTAAATATGGCAATTCATTAATTTCATTCGGCGGATTAACGCTTTGAATTATTATTTCGAATTTCATTGGAAATATATTTTAATATGCTCATACAATAATATTTTTTAATTTTGCATTACAATGATAATGTAATAAATATCATTATTTAAAGAATTTATAGAACATCGTATGCGTTGAGTGAATACAGTTTTGGAGCACGAAATGACAATTCCGATCGTTGAAATTCCATAGAAAAATAAAATATCAAGGGGAAAAATGCATTTTTAATCGAATCGCGATTCAATGGCTATTGAATCGCGATGGAATAATGGATAATACAGAAATTCATCGATTAAAAACATTAATTAGTTACGCTCGACGTTTCATCAAATTGGACAATTTATTATCTAATTTAACTAAATAGTGTGGCCTATAAAAATAACAGACTCACACATAATATATAATAAAACAATATTATAAGGTTGTTTGTTATTTTACCACGTTAAAAAAAAAAAATAAAATAATATAAAAGTAATTATAGGCTCTTATCTTGAAACTAAAAAAAAAATTGAAAAATTTTAAAAGCGCCATTTATTTGCATAATAAATTGAAAATTAAATTTCTAAAATCTATTTCAGAGTAAAAAGCTTTTAACCCGTTAATTTCTTCATCCATATCACTTCTTCTTCTTCTTCTTCTTCTTCTTCTTCTTAAGTAATATTGGAATTCAGCCAACAATTGGCAAGGATTGAGAAATATAAAAACACTATTGTCATATTTCAAAAATGTCAAATGTAAGAGAGGATGAAGGATCTATAGACTAAACCTGTTCAGTCAACAATGTTTATCGTGTGATTATATTTATTTAAAAAATGTTGACCTTCGTTGATAATAATGTAATTAACTTATTATTATTATTATTATTATTATTATTGTTGTTGTTGTTGTTGTTGTTGTTGATATTATTCGTTGACTTTTTCTCATAATTGACTCGAATAAATAGCTTTAAAAATGGGATAAAGTCGAAAAAATAAAAATAAAATCGATATATATTTATTTCTTTACTTTTTAACAAAACAAAAATAGAGTGTGCCGTTTGAATTGGTATTGGTATGACATTAAATAGATTGTGCAAAAATTTTCAAAATTTATCGCGATATTAATATTAAATTACAACGTGATCGATAATATTTTACAAATGTTAAAAATTATCTCTACGTTACGTGTCGAGTAGAGATTCTACGGAATACGCGCGTGTTTTTGTTAAGCCTAAGGTAGCGATTTGTAAAGTAGCGATTATAGGCAAAGCCGCATAAAGCAAAGTATGCTTAATGAGAATAAAAAATCATTAGGGGCTCGTGTCAGAATTACTTTGATATGGCAAATATATATTTATGTTATGGACTTATCGACGAACCGTATGGTTTTATTGTATTTCTCGCGAATCTCGATCTCCTGGGCGTTGCGCAGATTTTGCCACCGCTTGTTCTGAATCATATTTAGCAACTTGATAAAGCGTCCACGCGAGATCAAGAGGTTGATGGCTTTGAAAATAGCATTGATCAGGGCGAACATGAGAAAGATATTCTCGGCGAATACGTCCTCGGTCATGGGCATCTCACAGACTCTGATAAAAACAGCCATCATCATGCTGATGAGCATGAAGAGTACGAGCGCGGTGAAGCTGCAGTACGCTCGCTTTTTCCAGCTGGACCAGGTCACGGGTCGCCACAATCCGCAGAATTTTAAGATACGAAACGGTATCGGAGCTATGTTTTCGTTCATCACGATAGCCGCGCGTTTTGCTCGTGACATTCGGTAAAAAGTGACTCCTCGGACATCCGAACGTGTGCTATCTCTTTTTTTCCTCCCACTCTTCCTCTTTATTGCCTGCTCTTTAATTATTTATTATGCGAGAGAGTCTTTCGTCGAAGACAAAAATCTACATCTGGCCGTATCTATTGTACTATATGCATATTGCGGACAAGTTAACCGCAAGATGCTTTACTTATGCATGACGTCGTCTAAAATCTCTTCGATTATTTCAATAAATTATGACAATAGCTCCCTCTCACGATCCGATTACGTGCATTTATTATTGCATAATAACTATAGAATTGTTAACAATGACATATTGTCAGTTTATGGTGGTCAAGGTGGAGACGTTTCTAGCAACTTCAATACCGTTTTTTGAGTGTACAATTTCGTTTATAATTTTTCTCATGCCTACGGCGTAGTGTATAAATTTTATATAAATTTTGCCGCTGAATTATGGTGAATTAAATTGCAAAGATTAAGCTAACATGGACATGAGATTTTATATTATATCGATAAAATGATATTTTACCATGTAAAGCTTGAAATTTATCTACATTTTAACATAAAAAATATTTCCATAGTTTTTCAAATCTAGCATTTCAATTCTAATTATCGAAAATTAGAATTAACAATTCCTTTTAATATTCTCCAACATTATTAGCTCAACGTATAATTACAAAATTTATATATTCTAAACGTACATTTATAAAGAATAGAGAAATTAAATGAAGCAACGAGTAAATAATACTCTTAGTCCATTAAAATTTTGTTCTAAATATTCGAAATTATTACAAAGTTTCATCTTATTTTTAATTATAATCATAATAATTAATAAATTTTGATAACATTTATTAAAACATAAGTAAGACAGTATATCGTCGGCTCATAATCTACGTAATAAAACAGAAGACTCTTTGTTACGAGCAGTAATGGGCGTCATGTAGATATTTAATTCAATCCTTTGTTCTCACTACGTAAGTATTTTGTAAAAAAAGAAGCTTCTAAAAATCAATTATGAATTTCCTTATCGGATCGTGTGCGCCTCTCCGTCTCTCTCTCTCTCTCTCTCTCTCTCTCTCTCTCTCTCTCTCTCTATCTATCTATCTATCTATCTATCTCTCTCTCTCTCTCTCTCTCTGCGTGTGCGCGCGCGCGTGTTAATGTATTTCTTCGTCATACACGATATTTGAAATAATAAGCAATAGAAAACAGTCGATTGCAATATTATATTTTTAGATTTTAGTTCCCTCTAATTGTTTACAATTATAAAATTTGCCATGTAGGAAATAATTTAAGACGTCTTTACAATTTCTTCTTGAATATGCAAAATTGCCCCCTAGACCAATTTTTTTCTCTAACCTTCTCTAATGTAATATTAGAAATATTATTAAGAATAGCGAGAGAAGCCGTTCCTTCTTTATATTCCAATTAGCTATGAATAATTGTCATAATGTATAGTTGTCGGCTACAACTAAACTATTTTTCTAACGTTTTCTTAACTTTGTCACATACGTAAATGTTACCACAAAAGATAAAGCTTTACTTACTTCCGCTCAACACCTGCAATATTATGAATTATTTAAAGCTATAAACGCTTCTAACACGCATATATACATATACCCATCTAATGAATATATATATATATATATATATATATATTTTTTTATTCAACCCTTTATACATAGCGAACGTATATGGTAATAATTTTCTGAAATAAACGTTTTCTCTGACAAAGTAAGTTTAGCTAACGACATCAGTATTTTTAATAAATCATGAAAAAAGTTCTTTGTAGAGGTTCTTTGTTGGCAAGAAATCGTTTTTACACGCTTCGGACATTTTCATGCACTCGAGCAAATTTTTGTTCACAAGTGATCCGGACTTCTTGAGATTTAATTTTCTTATTAACAAAATTTGGTAATATTTTTCTTTTTTTACTATTATTAATCATAAAATAAATGTATTATTAATGTATGCTTTTAGTTTAACAAAAATTATATATTTACAAAGTAATTATTATTTAGCGGCCTCTTTCGTTTAATTCAAACGATATTTTTCAAAGTTTAGAAGCCATTTATTATCAGCAAATTATGTTTGCGTTACGCTACTTATTATTTATATCTGAATTTTATAGAAATTTATTTGGCGATTATTACCTTTTTTTGTAATGTTTGAACTATTTTATTATAGCGCGATTGGTTTCTGAATTTAATTAATTATTAGTGTTTTGGATAATTATCAATGTATTAATTTATACTGTTCAAATTGTTTTCTATATCCTGATGAATGTGTAAACGTTCGTCGAAAATCAAAACGTTGTCCATTCTAAAAAGATAAAACCGAAAATGATTAAAAAATGACATTCGATGAAAATATATAACTGTAGATTATAAAGTGTCAACTCGTATACAAAATATGAGGATAAATTATAATAAATATTGATGTTTTATTTCATAAGAAATTTTTTAATTATTAATGTAACTAACATATATAGTATCTATTATTTGACATATAATTTATAGTTTTTCTTTATATGTTACGATAATGATTAATAAGTGCAATTGATTAATGTATGGCAAACGAAAATTGTATAAATTTTCACGATATTTCGTATAATGTAAAAATAAATGTAATATTTTCATACCGACTTTGTAAATAGTATATAATGAAAAATAGATATTAGATAAAAAATTTATCTAGAAAATTCATTAATATGTAGAGGTACACACCAATAATCAAGTATTGATATTTCTCATACGTTTATTAATTTAATAAAAGGTAATTTTATTGATAATATAATTAAAAATACGAATACGACCATATTTCCTATTAAGTAATATTTTTCTTAACGAAGCTGGCAATTTTATAAATAAATAATAAAATTTTCCTTGATATTATTTTTATTTCAATACTATTATTTTTAGATATTTATTATTTTCAATTTGATATTTTTCAAAGTAATTATCAATGATAAGTGCCTAGTGGCAGCAAAATTTTTATGAAGCAACATTTTATGAAGCAATCAGCAATCGGTTTAGCAATTATTGAATTTGAATTTTGATGAAGTAATTTATTAACTTATTTCTTTCCATTATTCGAGCTTTTTTGTTTTCGGAGTAACCATAAAAACGCCGACGACGTAAGAAATTATAAATGTAAAAAATATTGTTTCTTCAATTTATAGTTGAATATTTAAAAAATTGACTCGTATTTTCTAACTGATTTTTTAACTTAGTACAACGCAATCTCGTACGGGTAAAGATAAAAATGGCTGCTGTCGATTAAAATATATTAGATTATAATTTTATTCTAATTATAATCGTACTCTTGTTATATTTGTGCTTTAAACCTTAACGATGGACTAAGTTTTTTTTTTTTTTTTTTTTTTTTTAATGCTTTTGTATCAGATTGCCCTGTCACATTACTAATTTCACAGAGAATCATAATAAATAATAACTTTTGTCAAAAAGATTTTTGATATGAAGTTTTGTTTATTATCATTTCTTATCATATGCAAGTTTCAGTAGATGCGGAAATGCCGAATATGTAGAATCAACCAATATTATAAATAGCCATCTAGCGGCGGTCGTCGTACAATTCCATTTTCGTATGCACATACATACAAGCAAAATTCTTACATGTCAAAACGTATTATTCAAATGTAAAATACAAGAACGAAACAATTAATGTTTCATTTAATCGAATACTCGGTACAAATAGTTTCGTGTACTTAGTGAATATATAATACTTAAGAACTAGTATATAGACATTGTCGACTTATTCGAAATTGAAAATCGATGATATTAGCATTAGTGAATACGCGTTTTATTAACTGACCTTGCAACAGGTCGAGTTCATTCACTTTGAAATTAGAACGCAGAAGACGATTTCAGCCTCGTTCAACTAATCTGTGAACTCAATCTGAACAACGAAAAATGGAGTCTATTGCTTTCTATTATGTGTAATAATACTACGAATGAGAATAAAGTAAATTTCTGTGCTCTTATAGTTAACGACGAAAGTATCGGAATGAAAAAAATTATCGTTCAACTAATTTATACTATTCATTACATCATCCGTATTCGTAATCGTTGTGCGTAAATTACGCATTATTGATACATAATCTTTTTAAATATTAATTCAGATGAGGTTATGGAAGCAAACAAGTATGTTAGTTAATTGATTTTCTATCGAGTTGAAATTAAAGTAACTTTGTCCTACCCAATGTATTCAATTGATATTTCAAAGTGACGAGACATTTTTCTGACTGTTTACACCAAAATATAATTTTATGTTCTTGCTCATGCATATAAATATAATTATACGTAAGCGTATAAAAATCAATTAATGTATTTACTTTGCACAATAGACATTTTCTTTATTACACAGGTATAGAAATTTCATAAAAAGTAGTACATTTAATAAAAATTATATAGAAATTGTTTGTGCCCAGCTAGTGGAAAATTCTATATTCTTCTGAAACGAATCAATATTTAATATATATATATATATATATATATATATATTAGAAATGATAGAAAAACAATAAAATATTACCCATTTACATATTTATTTTAAACGCATAAAGATTGTTAATAAATGAACGCGAATGATTTATGAAAGTATTTAAAAACTATATAGAAAATCATTACATGTGAAACTTATTTTGTAGGTAGAAATATCTTATTTATGTAGAAAAGAAAAAAAACATTAAGACAAAAGATTGGCTTTCGAGTAAAAAATAAATCTAAAAGTGCCTCTTAAATTCTTTGCACAGCCATCTTTTCACCCTCTTAATATTGGCCGATATAATCGCAGTCACATAAGCTTCTCAGCGTTGCTACAACACGCGCCGACAATTTCTTTGAAGAATCTCCAGACACGAAGGATTATGCAACGACACGCGTAAATTTCCGGTATCTACGACGTCACATTTATTTTTTTTTTTTTTATTTTTTTTTTTTCACGGCCTTTCAACGTCTCGAGCACGTGGACGATTATCCCGCACTGCTTCCTTTTATTCATAATTACTATATTGCGGCTCAAAGTGCACACATTGATAATTTCATTTCATTATTGCTCTAACCTTTCTCCTTCCCTTTGACTTTCAATATAAAATTGTAAAATAAATATTGGGATGTTTAGAGGAGATTGCGAACGATTGAGATTCAAGATACTAATAATATTATTACTCAGCGATAAATTGTGAGAGCCATTGTGTAATTAATGCTAATTAATTATACTAATATTGAAAAAAATATAAAAATAAAAAAAAAATAGTAAGCATATAAAAGTCACAATAGAATTTGTAAAGATTAAGTCAAGAATAAGCAAAATGATAGCCTTGGGAAAGAAAAATTAAATGGCATTGTTAGCTTAAAGTTGGGAAGATGAGAGCAAGTAAATTCATCGCAAATCTAAGCTAAAGAAGTAAAATGCGTTTAGATATTTATAAATAAGTTTATAAGTGTAGTTTAAAGACAATGAAAATCAAATTTTTACAACTGTTTTACTACCGGAAATGAGAGGCCCATTGTTTTTAAAGATTACTCTAATTAATTATTTCAATTGTGCTTTAATAAATTTATTTGCAATTTTTTTTTTTTTAGCACTTGTGATATTAATGATACTTTTATGAAATGGAAATATATTATTTTCAGGCCTGATTTACAATCAAGATTTGCTTGTGAAACTCATTTGAACATCCATCGAAGCAAGCTCAAGCACATTGCAAATATATTAGAGAAACGCTATAATTACATCTTATTCCAATCTATATTGTTTATAAATCAGTTAAATTCAAGGGCAGTTTATAAATCGTCTGTAGAAGCGCCTGTAGAACTGCCTTATCGACTAACCCGTTGATTACGTATTACCTTTACTTTACAACTGAGGACATCGTATTCCACAGCCTGAGAATAAGTGTCGTAACTACAATTAAAGAATGATATTCGAATGTGCTAAATGAAATTCAGAAAATTAAAAGAAATACGAATTGAGAGACAAAGAAGACCTTCCGATGCAGGTGTGCCGATAGATGCAATATATTTTATAGATTTCACCATTCGCTCTTTATTGTTCATTATTTCACTCACCTTTTCTTTCTCAGCTACTCAGCACTGTTATAAATGAAATATCGACATCATAATTAATTCCTTTATTTATTTTTAGAATCTCTCAACACTCCTTTTGTAGTCTTGTCATTTAAAACCAATTACTTTCTCATATAATATTTATGCAATGTATCATTAATAATAATGATTAATAATATATATATATATATATATATATATATTAATAACGAGTACACATGTTGACAAAGTATGCGTAAAATCTTGTCAATCAAGATCCTTTCATCGGCAAGTTTTTATTTATCGAACAAGTATCTTATGTAAATTTACATTCTTATTATACGAATTGACGAGTATATGTGTTAATTAATAATAACATTTTCGATGTTATTTCTAGCATAATATAAGGCCAGTTTTGAAGTCTATCGCGCCATTAGTTTGTACATTCGCAAAGCAATCGAATACGAAAACGAAGAGTCGAAAACAAATCGAATCTAAAGTCGATTATAAAGTACGATTTTATATTTCATTTTGTAATTCAAGTAAAAAAAAAGTAAAAAAAAGAAAGAAAAAAAGAAGAAAAAAAAAAGAAAAAAGAATGAGATAGTGATAGATAATGAAATCCCAATACAACTCGATTTAAAGAAAAACTTGATTGCAACGCATATTGTATGAATATTTTCAAATGACACATTGTCTTATTTATACTTCTTTGCGTTTCATTATCTACAATATATAGGTAATTTCAGGTATCCTATGTTTCAATTATTAATATTAAGAACAATGCAGTGGTATAAGTTACGAAAGAAACGACAATCAATGGTAAAAGCGTTACGATTCATAATATCCATTTCAAGTAAAAAAACAAACAAACAAAAATTAAAAGAAAAATTTATACATAATTATTTATTCGATTGTATTAAAATTACGTAATTCTTTTATCGATTTCATCATTTTCATTATTATTTCATAAAAGTTCTGAATTATATTTTCAAAATTAATGAAATTAGTCCAAGAACGAATATTATATTATCCAAAGAAAATATTTTCCTTCATACTTAACGTAGCTTACGACCAATAAGTTAATATAGAATTCATTTGATTTAAAATTATTACGATGCTTATTACGGTCAAATTAGCGTAAATCAAATGAGCTGTCAACAATTCCCGACTGAACATACGAGAATTCGCTGTACGCGTATGTAATTCGTTAATGATACGAAGGGTAATTTTTAAAAATTTACTCGATATCAATAGTTATAAATCAACAATAAATTGAATGAAAAGATTTCGATAAAATTAACAAATGAAATTGAATTAAATGAAAAATAAAAAACGATAAAATTGTGAAACGCACAAATAAACGAGTATTTTGCTAGTAAAACTATACGAAGCTCTAGGCGCGCGCGTGTGTGCGAAGAAATAAATTTTCCAGAAATAGAAAGAGATTTCTTTGCAGCTTGTGCAACCTTCGCATGCTCGTTTGCCTCCCGCAGCTCAAAGTGCACTAACGCACTATTGCATTGCGCATCTTGCGCTTAATTTACGATCAGCACTAAGTGCGCGTACTTGTGCCATCTCAGCGAGGGACTTTCTCCGCCCTTGGAGTCCTCGTGAACGAGGCGCATGGAAGTTCTCAAAGAGATTTCGCGGGAATTGTTTCAAGTTCGACCACTGCAATTTCACGATGAATGACGAGAAAGTTTCCTTATTATTTCCATTCTTTAATCTGCGAAATTATTTCAAGGTATCTCTAATAATTAGTGCTATTTCATTGAATATTTTAATCATTATCCAAGATTGATATACCGTTAATATTTGTTAATTTCATTGACTTATCGGAAATTATGAATCTTATGGATCTTAGTCTATCTTAATTTTAACACATCTAATTTTAATCTGGAATTTAAAAATTTTCTAACGATTAATCACCATTGTAAAACAATGGAAAATTAGTTATTAATTATTTTTCTCTCCTAGCGCTTTTGTATGAAAATAAGATGATAAAAGATTTTGCCTATCGTAAGAGAAGTAATAAGGTATGTAGTCGTTGAAAATAGCTTCAAAAGATTCATACGAGTTTTGTCGAAGCGATATCAAACTGACCTTTAAAAAATTTCATTTGATATATCAAAGATTTATGAATCTAATTAATCTATCAAGATATCATCGTGGATAAAGCATTATCGAAGAAAATTTTTAGAGCAGGAATTTTATTCTCAAGGGAGAATTATGATGAATTTTTTCGACTCGAAATTTATTTACAATAAGTAAGCCATTATTACATTAAAATGATTTAAATGATATATCGCTGTAATTATTAATATCGATAGTAGTTTTATTTCATTTGCAATAGCAACATTTACGTAGAATAAATGTCAAATGATTTACGCTGCTTATCGCTATTATGTCTAAAAATTCCATATACATAGATTTCTATAATCTCCGTTTAAATTAACTTTATTTTTAGAAACTTCATGAATTAAATGAGAACTGATAATAATAATAATAATAATAATAATAATAATAATAAATAAATAACGCTATTAGATAACGATAACAAAGAACGCTAATAATTGATAGCGTGTGAAATTGTCATGTTATTATTATTTCTAATTAATTTAAACTTAAAATTGGACGTTAAATTTTATCTCAATGCGCGATAACTTTGCCGAAATGCTTAAAACTTTAAAACTATGCACATTACGATTGCAAGAAAATAATAAATATTGTACATTATGCAAACAATGTGTTGTATATTTTTACACAGAGCTTGATCGACTGGATTTTTCTCTCGTGTTAAAACCTTCGAGAGTAGAAAACTTTGCGGATTAAAGCGCCTAATCATAAGATATACAAAGGCATATCCTACACATTAACAATAAACAGTTGCCTCGGCACTAATAACGGATACATATTTTCTCAGTGTGGCAACGCAACTTTCGCCTCCCTCGTCGTCCTCGCTCTCAACAGCTGATTGTCGCTTATATATACCTCGAATTCAAACTCGAGGCAATCCATCGAATCTCCTCTCATCGCATCGCGATACCGATCACCGCCCCCCCCCCCCTCACAATCCCAATCGTTCCAGCAAACGAGATTCTTGAAAGTGTAACTCGCCTCAAGGCTGCGATTTGATCTTCGAACTTGTTTTATCCAGCTTGTAATTTATAAAGCAGCGTGTTCGCTGAAAATCCTCGTTTGCAATTTGACGCAATGGGAACGGCGGGTAAAAGGCATTAGTAGAGTTAGTTTTTGCTTATATGTACTCTCTCTCTCTCTCTCTCTCTCTCTCTCTCTCTCTCTCTCTCTGCTCTCTTTCTCGCTTGTACAACGAGCATACGTACATTTTTATTTCTTACCTTATGCAATCGGCCAGAGCTGCACTTTATACATTTTAATATGTCATTTGCCTATAAAAGATAGTGATTTCCGATGAACGGAAAAATTTGTTTTTCCCATCTATTGCTTAGTGAAGCATATACGATTTTATACGATATATAGTTATAAATATTTTAAAGCGATATGAGAACGAAATGGCTTTGGTTAATAGAGTTATGACAATTGTGATGCAAATCATTAGATGTCAAAAATGATTGATTAGCATTTCATTACCATGTGTTATAGCATTATCCTATCTTATTTCATAATAATATTTGTCAATTGCACATATTTCCTATTAACTTAAAGTCTTAAAGATAGTTATTACACATTTTGAAACGAAAGCTTAATAATTCTTAAATTTATATTTAAAATATTAAGTGATAAAGTGAAATGAAAAGACTACCATTGTTTAACTGTAATGCAATTATTGTTAAATATTTCTTCAACTCTGTATTAAGTACAATTAAATCATTCGATAAATATGTTTCCTAAACTTGTATCGTAATATTATCGCGCTTTTTAATCGCTTAAACTACAATCATTTCTCAGATAAGCGAGTATTTATTTGTAAAAACGCACCTGTGAATTGTTATTAGCTAATTGCTTATTAGCATATTACGAGTCAATACACTTCGTTTTCATCCACATTATAAACTTTTCGTCTTAGCGCTGGGTGCTTTGTGTATTTATGTATTTTCTTCAAATATGAATGACGAAAGCACAAGATCGATAATGGCTTTAAAGCGTAAATGTCACGTTATTACTGCGATTCCATTCTTAATTCTAAATGTAAACGAACGAATCAGTGTGCTAGAAATTTCATGCAATATGTACGGACAATGATTATAATTTTCTGTTAAAAATAATACAGAACAAAAACAAAAACAAAAGAGAAAATGAAAGCGCATCGAAAGAATCCATTATTATTCATATTTAAATAATGTAAAGTATAATATTGAATTTCCTGTGCGATTAATTTCTATATAAAAGCTATATAAAATGGCTCTTATACCTTGAACTTTATTCAATTAAACATTATATTGTTAAATGCAAAATATTTGATCGTTTATTAATACACATAATTGGCAAAGCTTTCTTTCAATTCCAGCCCTTTAATTTTACAAGTATAAAAGAACATTTAGAAAATAAAATAAATATTTAAAAAGCTCATGATATTGTAATAGTGAGAAAAATTATAAAATTTGACGATAAAACAGTATTAGTCGCTTTAAATCATTGCTTATGACAAAAAAACCTGAATTTTCTTCAATTACAGAAAATTTTCATTAAAGCTAAAAATATTTTGCTACGATAATTAATATTTAATTAAAAGGGATAGTTTAGCATCTATATGTATAAAAAATTAAATATACATTGTTTAAGGCAAAAATTTTATATTAAGAATTAATTTTCTATTAAAGACTAATTAATTCTAACGAAACTTATCAAATAATTTATGCATATTAGTAATTTTATAATCAAAAGCTATGAGATAAGTACGTGACATTACAAACATTTTATATGACATTATATAGATGGGGATAAATAAAATACACATAGATTATTGTGACTTATTATTCAGGTTCACTCCTCAAAATTGTAAAGTTATTACTTTAATAGTATTACGCGAGCTTTTATGATTGATTAGATTTAACATCATAGATCCAGAGTAAACAGTGGCTTAGGCGAACAAAGCACGCGGTGAAAAGCACGAGACTCTCACGACATTCACGTGATCTTATCTTACGATACTTCCATACAAATATACGTAAGCGATCCGAAG